TTTTTTTTTTTTTTTTTTTTTTTTTTTTTTTTTGAAGTGGAAACGTCGTAATGAACAACGACATTACAAACCACTCGATTAGGAAATACTCTTAATATGTGTGAAATAGACGAAACTGAAAATCTACATAAACAAGAATGCAGCTGTTGGTAATAATATGGTAATTGTTAAATACATGATACGTACAGTTCAAACACTCATTCAACAACATCTATCCACATTCGTGTTGGCAATCTTCTCTTTCACTTATAATTTTGCTTTTGTTGCTCCCATACAATTATGGTAGCCTAGTTTACACTTAATTTTAGACTAAACCAAAAGTAAAAGAGAAGCTACAGAAAGAAATCAATCAGTTAATCAGATACAAGAAAAAACTGAAAAATATTAGAATTGTAATAGTACATAAAAGACTCAAAATTCATTTCTAATCAGTTGTTAAAATTAAAAAAAATTTAAGAAAAAAAAAAGTTTAAAAAAAACCTTGTGAAGTGATTGCTGTAAACCCAGTGACTGTACATCAATTTGTTGTAGTGGAAATTCTTTGGTAATATTTTGCACATCAATAATCGTATAGGCAATTTGAATAACTGGTGAACAATCGGATCCTTGTTCTAATCCATTAAGACCTGAGGTTCGAAGTGCAAATGGAATGAGGTAGCGAGGCATCCGCTCGCTCATCAAACGCTGTACAATAACTGAGAAGTGTCACCGAAATTGAACATTCGAGTATTAGGAGAGAGGGTTAGAGAGAGAAAGGGGAGGCGAAGGGAAGTAAATGTTTGACCAAAAAAAAAATAAATAAATAAAAAACGTGAGAGAAACGAGAGAGTACAGAGATAAAATGCTTGCAAAATGCACTGTATCTGCGACTGCGACAACAGACAGTTATAATTGCTTAGAAAGGCTGTCGTTGCTGGGAAATCAGGCAAACGGTTGGTGTACCGATAACAGTTACAATGGAGGCCCCAGACAGAGGTAAAAATTAAAGTTGTTGTTTTGTTAGGCGACCAAAGAAAAGTTGCTGTCAGAGATCTAATCGAGCTGGGTACAGTCAATCAAGGCCTCTCCCGTTGACATATCAACGTCCTTGGGGTCCCACCGTTTCAAAAGTTACCAAAAACCCCAAAAAATTTTTCTTGTTCTTGCCCTCATTGACAGCTTCGTTTTTTTCTTTTTTTTTTCTCGTTATTTTTCATCTTTTTTTTTACTTGATCTATCAAAGA